GTCCAACAATACATTTTTTCATATGTTTTGTTGCCCCGTGATTCGAACCATGGCGTCGTCAACAAGGACGATATTCGTTTGTTTCACGTCCTGTTGAACGATGTCAAATTTGATTGGGTTCACTTCTTTATCGTTGCCCTTAGCGATGGCACTCGTTTTTCCCATCTCCGGTTTGCCATCCCCGTTATGCATATCCTTGCACATTGCAAAATAGACTTTACTCGGGACACTCAGGTGCCGGTTAAGAAGACTTGTTTCATCACTGAAGCCAAGTTTTCCCGGATCGTGTATCGAGAGGAGGGAGATGCTGCACCAAATCTGGACTTGGTCATCGCCGAAGAAGAAGAAGAAAGGCAAAACGAGAATCAAGCTGAGTCATCTCAAGCCGGAGATAGTCGAGCCACGGAGCGCGTCACTCGTTAGCGGAGGACTCGTCCGAGAGAAGAAGCACCGGAACCTTCTTGGGTGAAGAAGATCTTCGACACTCTCACGTGCATCTGAGATGACGTTCGCCAGCTCAACGAGAGGATGACTCGTCTTGAGCAATCTCGCTCCTACCGTGGCCCGCGTCACAGCTTTGGCGGAGGAGCTCGTCCGGCGAACTCTCTTTGACTGTTATTTTCTCTTGATTGATTATGATACATTATTTGTTTTAACTCTTTTGGTGGATGATGATGCTGCTAGTTGATATTAACTGCTTATGTATTAATATCATTGTTAGTTTGGCAATTTTGTTCTTGTTTAGGACATATTGACCCTTTGTGGCGTTTTACAAATTCTTTTTTAAAGAAAACTCTTGCCATTCTTATCCTTCAAAATCTCGGCATTGTTTAAGGGGGAAAGTTATCGGTTGATAATGCCAAAAGGGGGAAGGAAGGATAGTTGAGATTTTTTCCGCTTATTACTCCGATAATTATTTTTACTGCACTTCTCTAACATTGCAGGGGGAATCATTTAAGGGAAGTATTCTTTTCTTTGCTTTCTCTCAACTATGTTTGTCATTATCAAAAAGGGGGAAATTGTTGGACATGAGTTCAAACCCCTTTATTATTTTCTCTGGAATATTTTTTGTTTTGATAAATGACAAACAGGATGATGAAATCCAAACGATGATCGAAAATTTACTTTTCGTACCGAGAAAAGAAAAGAGGCGTATCAAGAAGTTTACGGCGATGAAAATTG